TTAGGGACAAAGAAACGCTAGTTAGGGCCACAGAATTCATACTCAGGGACAGACAGAATTGTTACGGAGTGCCAGAGAATTGTTACTCAGGGCCACAGAAACTTTACTTAGGGCCACAGAATTTTTACTCAGGGACAGACAGAATTGTTACTGAGTGCCAGAGAATTGTTACTCAGGGACAGACAGAATTGTTACGGAGTGCCAGAGAATTGTTACTCAGGGCCACAGAAACTTTACTTAGGGCCACAGAATTTTTACTCAGGGACAGAGACAGAATTGTTACTGAGTGCCAGAGAATTGTTACTCAGGGACAGACAGAATTGTTACTGAGTGCCAGAGAATTGTTACTTAGGGCCACAGAAACTTTACTTAGGGCCACAGAATTGTTACTCGCACAGACACAGAATTGTTACTCGCACAGACACAGAATTGTTACTGAAGGCCACAGAACTGTTACTTAGGGCCACAGAATTGTTACTCGCACAGACACAGAATTGTTACTACTCGCACAGACACAGAACTGTTACTGAGGGCCACAGAACTGTTACTTAGGGCCACAGAATTGTTACTCGCACAGACACAGAATTGTTACTCAGGGCCACAGAACTGTTACTTAGGGACAAAGAAACGCTAGTTAGGGCCACAGAATTCATACTCAGGGACAGACAGAATTGTTACGGAGTGCCAGAGAATTGTTACTCAGGGCCACAGAAACTTTACTTAGGGCCACAGAATTTTTACTCAGGGACAGACAGAATTGTTACTGAGTGCCAGAGAATTGTTACTCAGGGACAGACAGAATTGTTACGGAGTGCCAGAGAATTGTTACTCCGGGCCACAGAAACTTTACTTAGGGCCACAGAATTTTTACTCAGGGACAGACAGAATTGTTACTGAGTGCCAGAGAATTGTTACTCAGGGGACAGACAGAATTGTTACTGAGTGCCAGAGAATTGTTACTTAGGGCCACAGAAACTTTACTTAGGGCCACAGAATTGTTACTCGCACAGACACAGAATTGTTACTCGCACAGACACAGAACTGTTTACTGAGGGCCACAGAACTGTTACTTAGGGCCACAGAATTGTTACTCGCACAGACACAGAATTGTTACTCAGGCCACAGAATTTTTACTCAGGGACAGACAGAATTGTTTACTGAGTGCCAGAGAATTGTTACTCAGGGACAGACAGAATTGTACGGAGTGCCAGAGTATTTGTTACTCACGGCCACAGAAACTTTACTTAGGGCCACAGAATTTTTACTCAGGACAGACAGAATTGTTACTGAGTGCCAGAGAATTGTAACTTAGGGCCCACAGAAAACTTTGAGTTAGGGCCACAGAATTGTTACTCAGGGACAGACACAGAATTGTTACTCGCACAGACACAGAATTGTTACTGAGGACCACAGAACTGTTACTTAGGGCCACAGAATTGTACTCTGCCTGCACAGACACACAAGAATTGTTACACAGGACACCAGAACTGTTACTGAGGGCCACAGAACCGTTACTTAGGGCCACAGAACCGTTACTTCGGGCCACAGAATTGTTACCTACCAACGCACAGACACAGAATTGTTACTCGCACAGACACAGAATTGTTACTCGCACAGACACAGAATTGTTACTGAGGGGCCACAGAAACTGTTACTTGGGGCCACAGAAACGTTTAATCAGGGACACAGAATTGTTACTGAGGCCACAGAACTGTTACTTAGGGCCACAGAATTGTTACTCCGCACAGACACAGAATTGTTACACAGGACACAGAACTGTTACTGAGGGCCCAGAACCGTTACTTAGGGCCACAGAATTGTTTATTCGCACACAGACACAGAATTGTTACTCGCACAGACACAGAATTGTTACTCAGGGACACAGAACTGTTACTGAGGGCCACAGAACTGTTACTTAGGGCCACAGAATTGTTACTCGCACAGACACAGAATTCTTACTCGCACAGACACAGAATTGTTACTCAGGGAAACAGAACTGTTACTGAGGGCCCACAGAACTGTTTACTTAGGGCCACAGAATTGTTTCTCGCACAGACACAGAATTGTTTACTCGCACAGACACAGAATTGTTACTGAGGGCCACAGAACTGTTTACTTGGGGCCACAGAAACGTTAATCAGGGACACAGAATTGTTACTGAGGGCCACAGAACTGTTACTTAGGGCCACAGAAATGTTTACTCGCACAGACACAGAATTGTTACTCAGGGACACATAAATCGTTTAATTAAAGAGTATGTCAGACAACATGCAGAGGAGTGGCAGAGGAGGCAATGTTTAGGAGCGAGCAGACGTGGCAGCAGAGAGGAAGGGTCGAGGCAGCACTATTCGCAACGCCAGAGGCCAGTGCTCCCGGTGTCATCCAGCGGTCGTGTCTCCACCGACAACCCTGCCGTCATCGATTGGTTTGGCTCGGTCGTCTTCCTCTTCCCAGGTCACCTCTGACACCTACAGCCAACGGTCGGTGGGTACGTCAGACACAACCGTTAGTTGGCATGGCCCGGGGGACCAAGCCCACTGAAATCACGTGTCCTCTACCTGCCCCTGTCCTTTGGTGTTCCCTCACCAAGCGAAAGTATCGCATGCTGTGGGCTCAGCCCCACTGTACAGTGAGGAAGAGCTAACAGAGGGCGGTCAGGAACGGGGGGAGACATCCGCCTTTTCAGCAGCTAGGCGAAGAAGTAGTGGCGAGGAGAGTGGCCCGGTAGCCGGTCTAGAGACAGGTCTGTCTCCTGACCCAGACGCAGCCTGAGGGGGGGCTAGTAGTGAGGCGGAGACCCTACTTGATGATGAGGAGGTTGATCGCACTTGGCAGCCTCGTCTTCATCAGGCAATTTCTTCCGCAACATCAGGAGAAGAGGGTGGCAGCTTGGCAGTGAGCGAAACAGTCGGTGGGTTGCCCAGGAGACAGCAGCAGGGTCGCAGCAGTGTCAGTGGGAAGCAGTGTCAGTGGAGCCAAACGGCCACGGAGTAGAGCACCAGCTCCACTGCAGCTACCACCACGGCCCAGTAGTGGTGCCGGTGGATGCACGGAGGAAGCAGCAGTCACCCAGTGAGGAGATATCGGGGGCCAAAGTTTCCTACTCGGCGGTGTGGCAATTTTTCGTCAAGCCGCCCCCATTAGCCCGTATGCCATGAGGAAAGTAAGCTTGGAGGGGGCCTGTTGGGAATTTGGGCATGTTTGGGTCGTAGCCCCATTAAGTGTCGACTTTCTGTGGCCAGAAAGTCAAGCGTGTGGCCAAGGGGGCCCTAATGTTGGGACTATTTGGGCCATGTTGGGACAATGGGAGACCTCCCATTGCTGCTGTCTCCATCGCCACACTCTGCCATGTGCCACTTTCAGTCTCCACACACACTGCTGGTGTGTGCTGAATTTTTTGACATAGGGTGATGGCAGTTTTACGGGCCTCCCATAGCTGCTGCCAGTCGCCGCCTCCTAATTGCCATAGGCCCCTATATACCGCCTCCTCATGCTGCTGCCAGTCCAGAGTCTGTCATGGGTCCCTGTACAGTCCTCCCATTGCTGCTTGTCTCCGCATCGCCACACTCTGCCATGTGCCACTTTCAGCGTCTCCTCACACTGCTGGATGTGTAGAATTTTTTGACATAGGGTGCTGGCAGATTACGGCCTCCCATAGCTGCTGCCAGGCCCCTAATCTGCCATAGGCCCCTATATACCGCGCCTCCTCATGCTGGACTGCCAAGGTCCAAGTCTCTCATGGGTCCCTGTACGGCCTCCCATTGCTGCTGTCCTCCATCGCCACACTCCTGCCATGTGCCACTTTCAGGTCTCCCTTGACTACACAACACTGCTGGTGTGTAGAAATTTTTGACATAGGGTGCCTGGCAGATTACGGGCCTCCTATAGCTGCTGCCCAGGGCCCCTAATCTGCCATAGGCCCCTATATACCGCCTCCTCATGCTATGCTGCCAGTCCAAGTCTCTCATGGGTCCCTGTACGGCCTCCCCGATTGCTGCTAGTCTCCATCGCCACACTCTGCAAACAATGCCACTTTCAGGTCTCCTCACACTGCTGGTGTGTAGAATTTTTTGACATAGGGTGCTGGCAGATTACGGGCCTCCTATAGCTGCTGCCATGCCCCTAATCTGCCATAGGCCCCCGGCCATATATACCGCCTCCTCCATGCTGCTGCCAGGTCCAGAGTCTGTCATGGGTCCTGTACGGGCCTCCATTGCTGCTGTCTCCATCGCCACACTCTGCCATGTGCCACTTCAGGTCCTCCTCACACTGCTGGTGTGTAGAATTTTTGACATAGGGGTGCTGGCAGATTACGGGCCTCCCATAGCTGCTATGCCGAGCCCATAATCTGCCATAGGCCCCTATATACCGCCTCCTCATGTCTGCTGCCAGGTCCAGAGTCTCTCATGGGTCCCTGTACGGCCCTCCGCCATTGCTGCTGTCTCCATCGCCACACTCATGCTTGCCATGTGCCACTTTCAGGTCTCCTCACACACTGCTGGTGTGTTGAATTTTTTTGACATAGGGTTGCTGGCAGATTACGGGCCTATCCCATAGCTGCTGCCAGTCCCTAATCTGCCATGGGCCCTTATATACCGCCTCCTCATGCTGCTGCCAGGTCCACAGTGTCTCATGCCATGTGCCCAACTTTCAGGTCTCCTCACACTGCTATGGTGTGTAGAATTTTTTGACATAGGTGCTGACAGATTAACGGGCCTCCTATACTGCTGCTGCCAGGCCCCTAATCTGCCATAGGCCCCTATATACCGCCTCCTCATGCTGGACTGCCCAGGTCCAGAGTCTCTCATGGGTCCCTGTTACGGCCTCCCATTTGGCTGCTGTCTCCATCGCCACACTCTGCCATGTGGGCCACTTTCACAGGTCTCCTCACACTGCTGGTGTGTAGATTTTTTTGACATAGGGATGCTGGCAGATTACGGGCCCTCCTATAGCTGCTGCCAGGCCCCCTAATCTGCCATAGGCCCCTATATACCGCCTCCTCATGCTGCTGCCAGGTCCAGAGTCTCTCATGGGTCCCTGTTACGGCCTCCCCCATTGCTGCTGTCTCCATCGCCACACTCTGCATGTGCCACTTTCAGGTCTCCTCACACACTGCTGGTGTGTTGAAATTTTTTGACATAGGAGTGCTGGCAGATTACGGGCCTCCCATAGCTGCTGCCATGCCACCTACTCTGCCATAGGTCCCCTATATACCGCCTCCTCATGCTGGGCCCTTATTGCCAGGTCCAGAGTCTGTCCATGGGTCCCTTGGTACGGCCTCCATTGCTGCTGTCTCCATCGCCACACTCTGCCATGTGCCAACTTTCAGGTCTCCTCACACTGCATGGTGTGTTGAATTTTTTTGACATAGGGTGCTGGCAGATTACGGGCCCTCCATTGCTGCTGCCAGGTCCCCTTTAATCTGCCATATGGGCCCCTATACCGCCTCCTCATGCTGCTGCCAAGGTCCAGAGTGTGTCCATGGGTCCCTGTACGGCCTCCCTATTGCTGCTGTCTCCATAGCCACAATCTCTGCCATGTGCCACTTCAGGTCTCCTCACACTGCTGGTGTTGGGTTGAATTTTTTGACATAGGGTGCTGGCACGATTACGGGCCTCCCATTGCTGCTTGCCAGGGCACGTAATCTGCCATGGGCCCCCCCGTACCGACTCCTCATGCTGTGACGGTTGTCACAACAAGGTGGAATTCAATCCCTACATTTGTTAGACCCGACGCCTTTTTTAACGAACAGCGAAAGGCCATCACCGATTTATCTGATGTTAAAAAGACGGATAAAGGTACTCCCTGTGTAACTTAGATGTCAGCCATTGGCAGCTCATGCAGTGACACCTGCGCTTGCTCAGGCCCTTTGAGGAGGCCACGCTATTCGTGGAGTCGGCGCAGGAGTAGTTGCTATGGGATGAACGACGTCATTCCTCTGTTGCACGTCCTGGCAACAAATGCTGTTAACAATGGCTGGTCAGGGTGCGGTAGACGTGGCGCACAGATCTCAACGCCACATGACCCCTGTGGGGGCAGGACAGGAAGAAGAGGAGGAGGTAGAGGAGGACATTGGTGCTCAGGAATTATTGATTGAAATGGGTGGTTTTTTTCCACTCAGCGGACAGGAGTGGAGGAGCAGGAGCATCTGGTAGAGGAGGAGGAGGAGGAGACAGAGGACCCAACCACGCACCGTGGCAGTATGCTGTGGAGAATGGAGGCAGGGAGTCCCCTCGCATTCCTTGGCACAAATGGCCCACTGCCTCCTCGGCCCATAGCTTGCTCGGTTGCTTGCGTAGCGACAGCCGAATAATAACCATCAGACAGAGGGATGACTTTTTGGCTGTCCACCTGTTTGGACCGATCCCTCGCTACACGTTCAAAAATGGTGGCCTTTTTTTCACACCTGCTGAGAGGGAGGCCAAAATAACGTACTATAAAAACCCTACCTATGTAGTCAGTCTGGTCTCTGCCTGTTCTGCGCCAACGTCCATCCTCAGACCACCTGTGGGGGCCCTGGGCGCTCTGCAGTTTCCTGCTGCCATGGCAGCAGGGGAGGGGTGGGGTGGTAGGAGCAGTGGCAGCTCCACCAGCAGCGGCTGCCTCAGTCTGCAGTCGATGATGAGTAGCTTTTTCTTCACCAGCGCAGTGAGGAAACTACTAACCAGCCGCAGCAGCAGCAGCAATCAGGTGGACCTGGAGCAGGACCTCAAACAACAGGCTTAGGCCTACTTGGACAGCACCCCTGCCAAACCGATGTAGACAATCCCCCTTGACTACTGGGCAACGAAAACTTGACCTTTTGGCCCCAACTAGCTGAATTTGCCCTTGAAAGGCTGTCATGCCCCGCGCAGTAGCGTGGCATCGGAGCGCGTGTTTAGTGCGGCAGGAAGGTATTGCAACTCCGCGGAGGACACGACTGTCCACGCCAAAGTGTGGAGAGACTGACGTTTGTGAAAAAATTAGAATCAGGCGTGGAATAGTCTGGATTTCAAACCACCAGTTCCTGACACAACTGACCTAAATATCCGCCATGAAATCATGCCCCAAACATGTGCCACTTTCAGGTCTCCTCACACATGCTGGTGTGTTCCATTTTTGTCATAGGGTGCTGGCAGATTACGGGCTCACATAGCTGCTGCCAGGGCCCCCTAATCTGCCAATGGGCCCCTATACCGCCTCCTCATGCTGCTGCCAAGTCCAGAGTCTCTCATGGGGTCCTGTACGGCCTCCCATTGCTGCTGGTCTCCATCGCCACACTCTGCCATGTGCCACTTTCAGGTCTCCTCACACTGCTGGTGTATTCCATTTTTTTGAGTCATAGGGTGCTGGCAGATCTCACGGGCCTCCCATAGCTGCTGCCAGGCCCCTAATCTGCCATGGGCCCCTATACCGCCTCCTCATGCTGCTGCCTAGGTCCAGAGTCTCTCATAGGTCCCTGTACGGCCTCTCCATTGCTGCTGTCTCCATCGCCACACTCTGCCATGTGCCACTTTCAGGTCTCCTCACACTGCTGGTGGGTTTCCATTTTTGTCATAGGGTGCTGGCAGATTACGGGCCTCCCATAGCTGCTGCCAGGCCCCCTAATCTGCATGGGCCCCCGTACCGACTCCTCATGCTGCTGCCAGGCCCGTAATCTGTCATGGGCCCCTGTTACTGTCGCTTGTTGGCCATATTCCGCTCGTTCAGATGCTCCTTCTCTGTGGCTGACTCCTCTCAACGGAATTCCGTCTGCAAGTCTTTCTTGGGAAGCCATCCGTTTCCAAGAGACAACAGTTTGCGAGCACGCACCAGGACGGTGCAGAAACTGAACCAGGCCTCCTGTCCCAAGTTGCTGCTGCCTGGCTCGTAATCTGTCATGCACCCCTGTACCGCCTCCTCATGCTGCTGCCAGGTCCAGAGTGTGTCATGGGCCCCCGTACCGACTCCAAATGCTGCTGCCAGGCCCGTAATCTGTCATGGGCCCCTGTACCGCCTCCCCATGCTGCTGCCAGGTCCAGATTGTGTCATGGGTCCCTGTACGGCCTCCCATTGCTGCTGCCAGGCCCGTAATCTGCCATGGGCCCCGTACCGACTCCTCATGCTGCTGCCAGGCCCGTAATCTGCCATGGGCCCCTGTTACACGCCTCCTCATGCTGCTGCCCAGGTCCAGAGTGTGTCATGGGTTCCCTGTACGGCCTCCCATTGCTGCTGTCTCTATCGCCACCACTCTGCCATGTGCCACTTTCAGGTCTCCTCACACTGCACTGGTGGTTTCCATTTTTGTCATAGGGTGCTGTATGGCCTCCCATTGCTGCTGCCTCCACCGCCACACTGTGGCTCCACACTCTGGTTTTGGCCCCAGTGACTGCCCAAATGAGTGAAGTGTGCGGTGATTCTAAGATCGACGGCACTCATCTGCATGTCATACTGCCTGACAGTATTTTTCTCTTCCCCCAGCAGACTCCAAGGGCATTTAAATTAAAGGTACAGTGTTTCTGCACTAAATATTAAGTCTCTCTGAAGCCTAGAAACACCCTTTTTTAAGTTAAATTCACAGCGAATATATTTCGACTCGAATCAAAAATTTTTTCCACGAATTCGCCGAATCAGTCGAAATCGAATTTTTTTGAATACTTCGCTCATCTCTACTTACCACCATCAATGTAAGGCGGCATTCTGTCCACTGGTCACCACCTATATAAGAGTAGTCTTTCTAAAGACCACCAATGGACTAGGAATTACCTAAGGCATTAAAATTATTGCAAGTGTTCCTTTGGGGTAAATGTTTGAGAAAAGCTGGCCTAGCTTTTTCAGAAAATGCAAAAACAGCCAGCCAATATGAAAAATCACCCCTCTTCCTGAAGGTAAATTCAACATTAAAAAGCAGGCATAAGGAAATAACTGCACATGCAATACAACATTACCCATCACAAAACCCTACAAATCACCAACATCACCTCTCCATTTCTCTATCCAAAGCTTAAAAAAAAAGTTATAGATGTATATTTAAAGTATCTCACCAAAATACCTTTAATTTAGTTTAAAGGTCCATTCCAGGCTGTACAGGAAAGCCATTAAGCTATCACAAAAAAAAAAAAAAAAAATGTGATTTCTGGGATCATTCAGTACTAATACAGTGTAAAGAATGTCCCATGTTGTTTTCCATATTGACAATATGCAACTTGTAATTTTTGACAGTTTTAGAAAATCACATCATCTACAGATTCAAATGAATAGTTATTAAAATTAAATTACAAAATGGCTTGTTTGGCTAAATATATTATATCGTTCATTATGGGAAGCCAACGTGTTTGTAAGATAAAGTGTGAAAAAAAATAACTGAAAGTGGTGTCCGGATACTCATAGGACAAAGTTTTTAATACAAGTGGCTTGTAGAGGATATTGTGGGGTAGGTGTATATGAAAAGCTTTTGCTGGTATTACAGTTGACAGATATGTTCCTCACCAGTGTAACAAAGGAAGAAAGCTCTCCTTAATCACCACAAACTTTCTGTCAGATATACAGTATATATATATATATATATCAGGAACCTCAGGCTCTAGGAAATCCATCGCACCAGCACTCCGTGCAAAAAATCAATGAACAAATAGTGGCCTTGGGAGGGACAGTCTGTGCAGTCACCTTGCTTGCCAATATCTTTACTAGTAATGCTTCACTGGCTTCCAGTGAAAGAACATGGCACAATAGCAGCATGTACTGTGTTTGTGTGTTGTGTGTGTGTATGTTTTGTGTGTGTATATGTATATATATATATAGATAGAGAGAGCAAGAATGCATTTTTCCCCATTGTGATGTGCAGTGGCTTGCAAAAGACGGTGTCAAGGCACAGAACCAGTAAAAGTATCTTAGTTTATAAAAACAAATATATCCAGGCTTACACTTAGGCACAAGTAGAGCACCATATGAGGAGAAGGCAAACTGCTAACAGCAGAGATCCATTAGCAGGGTAATTGAGAGCCTGTCCCACCAGATGACATGCCACCTGAAAATGCCACTAAACACTCTTACCTTGAGCAGCCTCCGGCTTCCTCTGTACAGCTTCCCTAAACATCTGGGCATTGTCAATGTCATTGACCTAATATGGTCATGTGGTAGGTCATTGATGTCAAAAGCATCTCTGCTTCTTTGTGTTTGGGTCCAGACTAAACCCAATTTATCCCTTCTAGAGATCACTGATATTATAGTCCCTTTGAAAAAAACAATCAGGACTCCCATTGCTGACTTCCGGGATCGAAAGGCTGTATGGTGTTGTGCTACCTCCAAGGGCCACTGATAATAATTGTTTTTTTCCCTAAAGGTACAGAGGCTGCCCACCACTGCAAGCATCAGCCATTCACACTGGCTACAATAACACATTCTAGGGGATGTCTTTTTAAGATTTATTGCTTGAAGAAATGTTAACTGGAGAAATGATTATCATATAGGAATGAGAGGACAATCTTCTCCTCAAGCAATATTCGACAGTCTAAGGCCTCACGGCTGAGGATTATGAGGCACATTTCTGAACAGTTTAGGACCTGGGGGAAATCTCTTTGGCATCTGGTTACCTTGCACCAATGCACAAATACTGGTACTCCATGCAATTTTCAGAACACTGTACAGTCAGAGGGATCAATTTAGGCTCTTAACTCACAAGTCCCTAGGACAGCTGCCACCTTCCAGCTTCCTCCAGACACAGTCCAGTGAGTGAGACAGTTCTTCTCCTGATCTGCTTGTGTTGACGTCCTGCAACCACCTTCTCAGAATATCCATCTGGGCTCTAAGCCCTGACACCTCTGAGACCTCTAGAAAAGCTACACAGTCCACGGGTTGTTTAAGGGAAGTTGCCCCTGTAGCTCTGGAACCCTCTTGGGGAGAAGGAAGTCATCTCTCCAGTAGTTCAGACTATTTATCAACTTTTCAGCCTCCTACTGGACACTCCTCTGCAGGGAATGGCTAAAGCATGATAAATATTCAGGCTGGTGTAGCACTACCCCTTTAGAAGTTGCTTGAGATTTGGGTCCCCCTATAGTTCTGCACAGCCACCAACAAACATTTTAAACAGACTTGTATTCTGGAGACAGTAACCAGTCCTTGAGCTTGATTTTTTAGGGGTATTGAACTTGGATGGGGTAAGGGGTGTATGGGATGCCCAAGGAACAATAAACTGAGGACAGTTTTCTGGCAACTATGTACAAAATAGGAAATTCTCTTCTAGGAGAGCTCTCCTCTCCTGGTGAACCATGCCAGACCCCAGATAAATCATCTTCTTTACCCAGCTGCCTGGAGGAATCCCTGGGCAAGGGGATCCAGTGCCTGCCACAGTAAGTTAAGTAATCCTGGGTAAGAACCTAGTCAGGCTTCCCACCAGAATGCCCTAGGGGGTGTAGAATTACTTAGTCCTTTCCTGTGAGCTGGTTGGGTTGGTGGCTGCCTTCAGGCCTTCTGCTGGGCTGGCTCCTTCCCTGGCTCCACAGGTGGTCCTCCCTCCAGGGACCGATGAGACTGAGTTATTCTCCTCTCAACCCTGACCCAGATTTGACCCTGCTATGTATTTCCTCAGGCTGCTACTCAGCTTTACTAGCTGAAAAAAATTAACTAGCTCCTCCTGGCTATCTAGAAGGGCACTACACTGGTTCATTAATTGCTTCGCTCGTCTCTGGAAGAAGCTTCCAGAGCTTAGGGCAGGCGGTTTAAACTCCCAGCCTATGAAACAGGACAAACGATCACTGCTTCCTTGATTATAGAAGGAGTTAAAAACTAAATTTACTTAGCACCCTACATTAGGAGGGTGCTAAATCCACAAATATAAAAAGGCTGTGCATGATGGACACCAGGGACATAGAAAATGGAGATGGGATCTATGCAATGTGGAATGGGCACATGACAGAGAACTGAAGAAGATGATCCACATCTAGCAATGCCCTGTGTTATAAACACAGCAGGCATCATGATTGGGGACGGTCCCTTCGGACTAATCTGTAGGGTAATAAAGGGGTTAAGCGATAGCAGAAGGGCAGGATAGTGAAGAGGCATGATTTGGATTGTGGTGGCAGATTACTGATAGAAGGAAGAAAAAGCATGGGACTCCTGCATCACGTTAAGTCCCATGACATACTGGTCACTCAAATAAATAAATCACCTCCTTCACTATGATCCCACCAAAAAGTCATACTTTCTCCCTAGAAAGTTTACTAATAATAAAACCTTTTTGTGATATACCCTAAAATCATAATAATATATCAAATATACAATACATCAAATTAAACCATAAAGTGTCCAATTCCTATAAAATCTCCAATGTGTCCAAAAAGTCCAAAGTTCCAAGCTT